TGATGTGTCCAACTTTACCACATTTATAGCACTTAGCACTCCGAAAACGGCAAGTGCTTCGTAGATGTAACTTTCCACAGGATAAACACGGTTTAATGTTTTTGATCTCTCGCTGCATTCTATTACCTGTGGATGGCAGTTTGGATTGCTTTCCATGAACACTTGTATTTTCGACTTTAGAAAGCATAACATCAGATACTGACGTAGTGGGAGCAGAGTATTCAATGTTGACATCTTCATATGTAATACATAAATCTTTGGCAGTTTGAAAGGTACAAGAAGGAATCTGAATTAACTCTTTCTCTAACTTAGGAATATTGATTCCAGCAATTAGACGATCACGTAGTTGAGTATGCAGCTGATCTCCAAAGTTACACTTTGAAGCTTGTATTTGGAGTTGAAGAATAAAGTCTCTAATTCTCTGGTTGGGAGCACGAACCAGTTTATGGAATTGAGCCCTCTCTCGCGTCTCAAAAGTAGTTACATGAAAGTGATCTATCAGAAGTTCACGTAGTTTATAATATGGCAGAGAAATTGGTTTATCTGGAAACGACAGAGTCTTTACTAAGCTATACGCATCTAGCCCAATAGCAGTAATGAAATGTGCTGGTATTTTGTCATCCCGAACATTCTTTGAAATGCACCACGCATCGAAGCATTCCAAATAATCAGCAATCTCCCGCGGAGACCCATTAATGGGAAATTTTCCCAGGTTATTTAGTTCCATCGCGACGCCAATTTGTAGTAATTTATTGTAATCGTAGTATTAGTATTTCAAGATGACCGAATTACAAGAATCCAAACAAAACACAGAGAGGGCAGAACTCAGGAATTTGTATTTAGCGGAATTCTAATGCAATTCATATAAGAAACATATCAACAGTCAACAGTAAGTATTTAAACAATACAGAGATAGAAATTGTCAATCACCTCAGTGTCTTCGACGTAGCGTATCCAAATCTGCGGTTTGATTTTGGTAGAATTATGTTTTCGAGTGTTTGCATCACTGCTTCTGCAATCAAACCTGATATTGGGGGTCCCATGGGTGTTCCTCTGACTTACTCATATATTTGGCCGATGAATTGCAAGTATGTTGTTAGGCATAGGTTTATGCATTCCATCCAGCTTGTGTGCTGCATTTTTGATTGTTGTGGAAGTTGTTCGTCGTTTTTAAGTAGTTGCTGCATGGTTTCTTTTGCTGGTTTTTGTCCGATAGAAGTATACAATGCTGTCACATCGAAGGATACCATTATTTCTTGTTCATCTATTTGGATGCCTAGCTAGCATCCACATGTATGCAAAGAATCACAAATGCTTATTGTATCAAAATGGCACAGCGAAAGTTAATATGCAGAGTGGAACAGCACTAATGACCTGAAGGCTTCAGGTTGCATGCAAGTTTCTGTGAATTGTGACGTGGAACAAAACTGACTACAACCCTTCTACGATGAACCATCCACGGCTGTCTATAGAAACGAAACACTTCTTGTCACTGACCAAGCTGGACGACAAGACGCAGTTAATATCGATCAACTAAAGGCATCTGGTATATCGGAAAAAGCAGTGCCTTCCACACTAACACGATTAGTTAAATCCTTGCCATCAGATTGCGAAAGAGGCACAGTAACTTGTAAAATCCCTACACCTTCAAAAATTTCATCGGATAGTGACAGTAGAAAAGGACGCTTCACGTGTAAAGATTAGAGTGTACACTCGTTCAAGGGGTATGCAGATTTCCTCAATCCCACTCATTGTAATTTCACGTTATCGTTATATCTAACAAGTATTCTACCGGCTTGCACACAAAAACATATATCACGCGTTGAGCGGGAATTTCCAGTCAATACTTAAAAATATATGAAAATAATAATGAAGCACAAAAAAAATAAAACCGTTTGAAAATTTCAGAAAGAAAGTTCATATGTTGCCATTATTCTTATGCTATTATTTGTTCATCTTTTGTAGTATATTTCTCAGTTTCGGATTTTTCTCGCGCTATCTTTCTAAATTTAGCCCACTAAATCGTTTCAGGCTAAGGATGGCTAGTAAATTACTTAGTTACATGTTAAAGAGAAGTGAGTTAGTGTGTGTTAGTCCATCACTTGACATGGTGGACTGCTATCGAATCTTCTGACATCTCGATGAAAACCCGTCGTAAGTGACTAAGATGAGTTTCTTCATTTAGACTAGCTACCAGAACGTCATCCACTTATGCATAGATGCAAGATAACATGAGTCGAGCGCTGGAAGATTTGGCCACATTTGCATGAATCAAGGAGACTCATGCGGAGATTCTCAAGGAGACAGAAGAGCGCATTGACGGTAGAATTTAGGAGACAACCAAGATGAATGAAGGCCATGTGATAGGAGTACACTAGAGTGAGCGTACTAAATATAGGTGCGGCTCCTAAAGATGCAGTCGATTCATACGAGTTATTAAGTTTCTTTCACAATCTGATTGTAAGGATTTTACTAATCGTGTCAGTGTAGAAGGTTCTGGTTTCTCAGATATATCAGTACTGACTGTATCTTACTATTATGCTTCGTGAATAATAATAGTAATAATAACAAATGTTTGTCTTCAATGAACAAGCTTGAATGGTGATTTCGCTAACCGTCTCTGTTCACCGTATATCAAAGTTATGAGTGGATGGTGTATATCAAAAGGCTAATGGGGAGGAAAGGGCATCTTTTACATTGCTGATTGTCATAAGAGAAGCTTAAGGTTGCCAGTCCTACGGGGCCAATGGTATATGTGTGATATGTCGTAATTCGAATGAATTTGCACCCCAAAGTGTCATAAGCCTTTTGAAGGTAACGGACTATTATCGGACAACTATCCTTCCATAGGACTCAAGTGGGAATGTGAACATAAGCCTTGAATACTCCCATCACCGTGTGGTAGATTGCTCCTGAACACACACAGTCTCACTTCGTACTAGGTGTTCACATTTGCACTGGCTTCAACTATCTACGAGTCACTTAAGCCGCCTTCATCACATATACGCACTGGGTGTCCACCTCAAAATTTCTTAGCAGCTTCAATGGTTGTTAGTGTCCCACAAGCATCTCAAGAAGTGATTGAACTGAACAATGCGTCCTCCTGGAACCGAAGTACAACTGACGCAGATATGCCCTGCTGATGAGTGCCAACTAGCACGAAACCTAGGTCCAAGCCTTCCTACCGATTACCTACAACCATCTAATATCACACTAAATCTTTCTATTAAGAATACTTATCGTCTTCATCCACTTCATGCCATCTTTGTATTTACAATCAACTCACCACATTTGGCACAGAAATATCATTTATTTCACCAGCCAAAAGTGAATAAACTGTTATTCTGAATGCAAACTATATCCGTCATTAAACCTACTGTTATTGTTACCGTATAATAATTATAAGAACCTGAATGGAATGTTTTGGAAAGAATATTCTTTGTTCATACCGACTTCTAGCACAAAATAAGTTATAAGAGTAAAGTGAAGAAATTTTCACATGAAATAATATCAGAGTTTACCTTTTCTCTATGACTAATTGAACCTTCTTTAAAAAAATTGTCTACATTCCGTAAAAGTTTCAATCTCATAGTAGTGATAATCACGCCATGATTACGTGATCATCAGAAAACGAAAGTACTTGTTAGTCGTTCGATGTCTTCTCGTATTTCGTTTTTTTTGAAGAGAATTTTGCCATTAGGTTGTAGTATAAATACATCAGTCTTCAAGTAAGCACAAATAATCATGGCGTCCGCTTTCCTATCACTTGAAATTACCGCGTTCATCTTTCTCCTGCGTGTATCTCTACTGACAGGTGAGCCCTACTTGATCTCATAGTCTGCATGTTACATGAATATGTTAAAACTACCTATAAAGAACAGAATTCACTTCTGAATTCCGAATGACAACTGCTCATATAGTGATTTGTGAGAATATATGGTCAAATATTATTATATGCAAAAAAACTTTGGCATTGTGGTGGTAAGTAATTCCATAGTATTTTGCTTATCAGATATATCACATAGTGAAACTGGATGACGTTTTGAACAAAACTCATTGTTCATAATCAATTATCAATTATGATAATTGAAATGTCATCCAGTAAATAATACTGTTTAACTGTGTGATATATGTAATAAAGAAACTAATATGAAATATATGAACCACTCCATTCGATGAGATCTATCAGCCATCGATATGAATATCATTTTCGCATGAACTTGAGGTACGATATGACAACACAGTATAATAATACTAATATAATTTATATTTATTCCTATCCATATAGCACAGATGAATTTTACAGGCATGAATAAACATTATTTAAATTGCATAAATTTGGTTTATGGTGAATTTACATAGTTGCTGTCTTTTTGTTTTTAGTTTGTGGAAACAATTTGCTAAAAAGTCATTCAATGGACTGTAGTCATTTCTCTAACACATACCAATAACACGAATTCGTATACATTTCATTCATTCCTCTGGCACAAATTGTGTATTACATGGAGGATTTAATCATAAGCTGACAAATTGTGTACATTGGTGATTTCATTTTCATGACTACAAATTCATCTTGAGTCGAATCAGTTTGAACAGTGGATTCAGTGCACGAGATGAGTATTCAGGTGGTTTTCCTACGAAATAATGAATGGATGAATGATTCTGTCTCACTGTCGATCAAGTGATTCGTGCGATTAAACATTCTCAGCTGTTCATATAATTTATTAATCCAAGTGTTGGTTTGTAGGGATTTGATTGTTTTCAGGATTTCATCATGAGCTGACATTAGTTAGAGAACCATTGGAAAACCTGGGAGTACTGGACAGCTGTTTCGTCCTAGTTTGGGACTCTTCAGCAGTACGCACCCACCGGGATTCGAACCCAGGACCTTCCAGCTGTTCAGTACTCTCAGGTTTTCCAATGGTTCTCTAACTAATGTCAGCTCATGATGAAATCCTGAAATTTATTAATCATTTTTTATTTATTTCATTTATTTGAAGATGTTCCAGTTAGTAATATATATGGGAGTCATTTTACATTGAACAGTAATTTGAGCATTCATGTTCTCGTTATTGTGTCGTAATCCAATAGTTTCTGACTTGTAAATTCTCCTGAAATGTGAGGTTGCCTCTTGAATATCAAGTCATGTCAGCAATGATTACTCGAGAATTCTACAATGTCAAACATGCGGATATTTCCCTCTACAATTCATAGTTTGTCAGCTAATTTTAGACTATTATCGAGTAGTCTGGTGGTGAAACATCATGCAAATCCTGCGAGGAAATGCAGTGAGTGAAACAACTTCATCTAATCGAACAAGATAACAGCGTTGAACTTTGAGAATGTGAACACTGTGGATATGTGGAAATCGACTTTATCATTCCACTCTTCCTAACAGTGGAAAGCTGAATTCCCACGTCATATTTCTCAGTCAGACAGAGTATCCACATTGGCCAGGTGATCGTTGTGCGAGTCTAGTCAGTTTCTGTCTGTGACAGTCGACGCCTGAATGAGGCTTGATAGCTTGGATTCTCGAGTTGAAGAAGGATTACTTCTTGTGAGTAGGAGTGAGTGAGAGGATATTTCCAGCGGATTCGTTCTGTATTTTGAGTGGGATATTCTCTTCAATACGCTATTCACTGAATATATCAACCAGCATTATTCAGTCTTCTAAAATGGGAAACATGCTGGAACACATATTCTCTGTACCATTCATTCTTGCAACTGAATAAGCCATATCATTCAGTCAAGCCTAATTCAATGAATTTCTGCCCCACTTTGTTGTTTTGAAGAGGCGGATCGTATTTTTCGAGAAATTAAAAAAATAGAATCTAACAACCACCTTTTCGACGGTAAGCAAATTCGTCTCAGTATATTTCAGTACTACATACATTTGCTCAGCACTTGATGAAATAACAAGGTTTATGCTTACTGAATACATTTTCATTTGTGGAGTCATTTTGTCGTATTCTCTACTAATTCGCAATTATCTACTTTTGAGGTGTTTGAAGGAAGTATGTGCAGCATGTAACACTGCAACACTTTGTGAGTGTAGACGAATTCAGCATGACTGATGATCATACTTGAAACTTACTATCATTACTAAAGTGATTATCAATTAATTTGTGGAATATTTCCGATTTATTTGCAGCTTTCATGGGGACGGTGAAATATTTGATAACCACTGTCGAAGAAGAAATGCAGATATTGCAAGGTGCTTTTACAAGCCTGCTCTTACTTACCATACATATTTTGTATGTCATTTCGTAATTTGATGTGTCAGTGATGCTTCGAATCAATAGTTTGCGTGTTACACTTGAACTCCGTGCAGGTAGTATATCGTTCCAAACTAATGTGATTGCTGGACATATCAGAGAGTGAAACAGCTTTATTCACGGGATTATTTATTAATCACAATCGTGTCACTTGCAACTATAAGACTTTTAAGCTGCACACTTAGTCTTCTCTTTCTTCCCTGTCTTAATTTCTCATCAAACGTGTAGTGTTCACCACCTCTAGTCATCCTTCCAACTGAGGATGGTAGTGATGTGATGTAGATTTCCAACCAGTAATTTGACCAGAATCACAGTTTGACTGATAAGAGTTTCGCAATGTTTCGTATAAACGATTGGTTTTCTGAAGTGAGTGTGTGGTTTTAAACTATTAGTCGTTGAAGGATTCCAAACACTTTGTACATGAACATGCAGTAAGTAATTGTCGAATGCTTTTCGAATGTGTGTAAACACCAATATTTGGGGATGAGTGGGGAGAGAGAACTGGCGACACCATACTGTCGTTTGTTTATTCATCAGCTTTGATGTAAATAGTTGAGAAGACGGTAATACTGGAAACATTGTCTTGTGATCATGAATTCTATTGCACAAGACAACAGACTGTTTGTCTTCTTCTAACTTCAGACCGCTTGGAAACACAGGCAGCAGAAAGGAACACAACTATCGCTGAGTGTAAGTCAACAAATTTATTCAACGTTCAAAATTAATTGTAATTTCAGTTGTACAGTGCCAAGTTAATACTTCTGAAGAATACTATCGACAGAAAATTTACAATAGTATGTTAAATGTTTGGTTTCCATGTTCATACTGCAAAAAAGTGACCAGGCTATTAAAATCTTTTGAATTAATGCTTCTACTGAATATCAGAGAGATATTTGAAGGCTGATGTTCACTTATTCAAACACCGTCGGAATAATGCTACCTATTTAATTTGGGTATCTCATTGACAGGAATTTATCAACTGCAACTGTTGTCTATCTTGATTTTGTCGTGTATTCATTTTCTTTGTCAGGCATTTCAGGCATCATAAGGAAAGTAAATCAGTCATATGGTAAGTACGCTAAGGTAATTTATAGGGCATTTTGTTTGATCTTGTTGCTTTTGCATTTCAATCGATGAGATATCGAAGCTGATTGTGAAAGAAATTCAGTTAAATCAAGATACTGCTGTTGAAAGACGAGCGCAAAGGTGGAAGACTGTTTTCAGCTGCTCAAGATGCTCATCCCGTATTTCACTATCAGTCACTTAGACGCAACCAGTGTAAGAGTATCCAGTATTTTATCAAATCACTGCTCAATAGTGCGTAATGGAGAAAAAAGTTGACGAAACAGACTTAATTGATTCATTTGCTGAAAATCTCCAACTGTAGGGCACTAATATTTCGGCAGATGGTGAAACAAGCATGAAATTATCCATTGAATTTGTTCCACTCAATCAATATCACAGGTGATCATCGAATTCCAGGTCAATAACTTCAAGTTTTACTTTTATTATTTCTATTATATTTGCTTCTTTGTTTGTTTTACTCTCATAATTGCGAACACCAGCTTATCTCTATGACTTCTGTAATCTTTGTTTTTCCTCTCACCATATCATGTAAAACAGAACATTATATTCAATATTTTTAAACATGCTAGGATTTATATACCGCATTGACAATACTGTGTGAAACAAGCCCACGGCAATTTTCACTTGTATGATTATTACCTTAGCTGTTATTATTATTTCCATTTTATCTGCTGCATGTTTTCGACATTACTTCTGTTGTAAATGTAGAAAATATTTTGTGTGATTAATTTTATTTACAATTTGAGGAAATTAGATGCAATACTGTGGTGAAATGCTGAAAATTCGATTCTGTATCACAAGTATTGTTTTTGGAATAAAGTAAATTATTATTATTACTAAAATATATATTCTGTCCCCTCTGCATTTTATTCAGGAGATTTCTTTGTCATGCCTGCGAATAATACTCTTTGGAACGAATCTCTAATCCATGGATCTGTAGGTAAGCATTCATATTATTGATTGAGCAGGTTATCTACATTACTGTTGACGATTTCTCACTTATACGACTCAGTTCAACATCGCCGTGCTCTAATCCATCATGTTTAACTGGTTACTTAGTTATCTTTCATAGCGAAAGCATATGACTGAAAGACATACGTGTTTGTCTGTCGGATATTTGAGTGAATTCGTCAGTCACTACACAATAGTTGAAATCCAGTAGTGATTCTGTGTAATTCCACTGTCATTTTGTGAAACAGTATCAGTGTGTTGAGACTCGATTTGTTTATGAGACTATCAAAAGCAGAGCAAGTGATTACTCACTGATGCTAATCACTCCAGTCATCCTGTAAATGACCACGTCATTACGAATAGTTTACACTCAGCCACTCATCGTGTTCAGAGGTGAATTGAGAGCAATTGAGAACTAGTCGGCAATAGTGTGCACATCACTTATTCAAAAGAAGGGCAGTTCATTGACTCCAAGCCAATCCCTATGAAGATTCAGGTATCTCTCCATGAAGATCTGTCACTCATTGCTTACTCACCGAGAATCAATTCCACTAGCTATGGGTTGTTGAATATCATGACCTACAAATATTCATATTTCAGACATTATAACAAACGATTAATGTCTTTCTACACTTTGACTTCTGTGTATTTCAGTTAATGCAGGCAGTAAGTCAAATCATTTAATACTGGTGATCAGTAACATTAAACACACCATGTTCATTGTAGCCAATGAAATGCTGTCAATGTTAACTTTTCTTCTTCTTGAATAGGTGGTGAATCAACCCCAGATTTGACAGTTTGTGATAGTCTTCTATCGGTTGCACGAACTGAAGGTAATTCGAAACATGTCATTGCTTTGTGGAAGACTATTTCACTAGTTTTATCCTTCATATTTCTCAGACTGATGTTTGTAAATTTATTCGACAAAATAATTATTAAAAGTGACTGTCATGTTATATTTTTTGTAAATGATGTAGCTATTGTCTGCAAAGAGAAAGTCCACTTACTCGCAAACACCCTAATGATTCTTCTTCGAGTGCATTTTCCACTGACTAAATCTCTAAGATTGTACTACGATAAATATTATTCTTCCCTTAGGTTTCAAGTTGAACATGGGATTTTAACAGCACATCGCCACTTCGTCCTATTCTGCTAGCCCTAAGATTGCCCATAGGCTCTCATCCCCTCGTCATACGATCTCCTCAATATCACTACCCTCGGACATATGATCAACTTCTCGTTTCCCACTCGAATTCCACTCAAGCGATAGCGCGATGACGACCGATGGTCTTCTCAGAGTGTGTCCGCTCCATCTACATTTTCCTCGGTATATTTGTTGATCAGTAGGTTTTTGCTTGGTTCGTCCTTAGAGTTGCTTATTGCTAATATTATCTGGCCATCTGATTGATCTTCAAAATGTAACTGGCGAAGTTAGCTGTCGATAAATGTCAGCTGCCTATAGGACATACTGTGATATATAAATATTCATACATATATAATAACACGGCTGGTGATGTGGATTCAATTGAGAAGTAAACATTGCTTCGCTCGATGTTTTCGTCTTCCAAACTAGCATTGCCTTTTTTCAACCTCATTTGTCCAAAAATCATCATACCTATCCATGGTAGACTTTCATTATGTGTTTACTCTTTACCTTCCTTTTCAGATATAAGACAAATGGAACAAGTGATAAATCGGCTTAGTTATTTGAGACATGAATCGGTGAAACATTCTGGTAAGCTGAGACATACAGAATCGAATATTTTGCAAGACACTTTCAGCAGTCTAGTACGTCGTAAACGCTGTATCAGGGCTGAGATTGCATTTCACACTCGATGATTAGAAATAATACAATAGATTAACAACATTTTATCTGTTTTTTCTCGTATGCGTCTATTCAAAGTTCACATACCAAGTAAGCCTTTTTTGACGAAAAACTGTATCTTCTCATTATAGAAGCCCAAGCGATTTATGACAGTGTTCTGACGAACTTAAAGGTAAGTTTATTTACCAGAATCAATCCATACACCTTATGACTAGCATCAGTCTACTTATTGTTTATTCTCCAACAACAAATCTCATGTCGTATTGATTAATGTCCTGTTGGCATTTGGAGACAAGTAGGCGAGACGTTCACCACTAACGAATAACTAACAGTTGTCGGTTTTATAATTAAACGCGAAGCTTTGGCTTCTATCTGGCTGACTACTTTGACAGTTTATTGGTATGATGCTTTTAACTGAGGCGCCTAATACATGTCTTGCCGAGATTTGAATGCATCAACTATATGATCCAGTGTATGGACTAATGCACAATAATCGATTTGAGTAATTCAGTCATTTGATACCTAAAAAGTGTCGCGAATCAATGATTGATTCACCCTATGAAACGTTTTTATTTCCCTCAGTATCGTCTTTCATTTTTTTTATTAAAACTACGCATTCATTTGTTAATTTTGCATTCTTTCTTCTGTTCTTGAAGAGGCGATACACTTTCCTCACATCAAATGGAACACTGTTATCCGTGTAAGATGAACAAAACGTATATTCAACTGTCTTCACGAATCATTTGAGGACAGTTTGCTATTTCTTTCCTCTTTCACTTGATTAAACTTTAGTATTCATAGTTATTGATAGTCGTAGTCGTAGTAGTAGTAGTAGTACTGATATGTGTAAAAATAATAAATACAATAATAATAATAATTTTTTGGCTTCAATTTGACTTCTCTCGACACTGTTCAACATTGACAGCGTGTGTGTGTGTGTGTAAAATGTCATAGTCATATTAGAGATCAGTTGATAGGAGAATTCACCTGTGAGGATTGTAGTTTTCTTCCAATTATAACTGAATACCATTTTACAATCACTTCCGTTAATTGGTTTGAGCAGAGAAATAGTGAGCACATTTTTGCTTAATTCCATTGATTCTCTTCAACTGAGGACATACTGAAATAAATTTAAAAAAAAAAATTATAGGTTACGAAATGATTGAACACACTTTTCTTGGTGACTTCGAGTTGCAGATTGAAAGTATGAACAGGATAATACTGTAAAAGGATGACCATTGAAAAAATTATTCAGTGTTAAGAAAGTACTAACACTATTTATAGTACAAGTAGACAATGGACGCGGTGTTTAAACTTCAAATTTCGCTTGGAAATAAGGATTGTCTGTCTGTTTTCGACATAGAACTTTGCACATATGCTCGACAGTTCAAGTCACTACACTCCCTTATTGTAGCACACAAAGCAAGAGAAGAAAGTAGAAGAATAAATGCATAATAGATACAGTAAACACAGGTGTGAGACAAAGGAATAGTAATAACGAAGAACAGCATAGTTTCATTGAAAATCATGAGTCACAGGGAGTGGATGCATCTGCACCAGCCAGCCATTGAGAACGATTTTCAGCTATATCACCAATTGTTTCCAACCATAGGTTTTTACTATCCCGAGGACCCGAACCAGGAAGTCTACACTTTTCTACGTGGCTGGCTTAAACTAACTGTTGTGGATTTCACTGACTGGTGCCATGTTCTGGTTTGACCGCCAATAGCTAGCTGTTTTCCAGCCTGACAATCCTATGTCAGCCAACATTGCCCGTTGTCGAGGAAGGCGATGACTAGGCATATATGACACATGTCCTAACCATCTCAGTCGATATAGCTTCATAGCCTCGTCGACTGATTTTCCCTCCCACCTACCTAGCACTCGACCGAGGCCTAACCTCAGTATCGCTCACCTTATTATACCACTTCACACAGGAGATAGAACGCAGGCACTTATGATCAAAGACAGCTATCCAGCCTTTTCATGTCTACCACTCTCAACGGCCAGGTCTTACAGCCAGAAAGAAGGACGGAGCGGATGGACCAGACACAAAATAGAAGACGACAAAACGGACTGAAGTGATGCATATCATGATAGGAGGTGAAAAGGGATGGAATGAATATTAGAGTCAAATTATAACAGAAAAAAAAACAATTACGTGTATTTGGAAACTTAATAATGAATCCGAGTAGTCAGTGAGTGAA